ACAGAAGAACACACATGCCGTGCAGAGAACAAAGTGCACAGGGGAACACCAAACACAGCAGAACACGCATGCACAGGAGAACACAGTACACTGAAGAACACGCATTGCACATGAGAACGCAGTGCACAGAACACCCACAGTGCACAACTGCAGTGCACAATTTTGTTTTGTTTTGTTTTTTGCAATTTTAGTGTGCTCCCTGACCTCCCACAGCCATTCAGAGTCCATTCTGTTTGGGATAAAAACATATCTTATCCAGCTCATGTGAGGCTAGGCACCAGTTCCTGAAAACCTTTTTGGGCAGTTAACAGCTTTGACTAGCAGCTCATCTCACCAGGCCTGGGCCTGCTGCCTGTGAATGGTTGACAGACCCAAAGGCAGCCAGAGTGTTCTGTGTCAGAGAGCATTGTCCAGCGGGCAGAGATGGGAGACCAGAAACACCCCCAGCCCACGCCCGTCCTCAGGCCTGAGGTTCATTCTCATTCCCTCCCTCTTCCCTTTCCCCTTTGTCCCTCCTGTCCTCAAATCTTCAAGGCCTCCCCAGGTGGCTGTGTTCTGCCAGGTCCTCCCAGACTCCAAGATTACTGCCTTCAGGGAGCCCACAAAGAGCTACACATCCATGGCCTCTGTGTGGCAGGTGTGCTCAGGACTGCAACTCCTAGCTCCCACATTTCACACCTCATCTCTTTAACCTCTTATGGAAAATTTCAAACGAATATAAAAGCAGGGAGAAATTGCATAATGAACCTACAAACCTATCACCCGGCTTCCGCAGTCGTCGGTGGTTTTCTGTTTTTAATCAAACCTTATCTTTGTGCTTCTTACAGTGCCTCACATTTAGCAGGTCCTCAGTGAAGACTGGATGGATGGATGATGGATGGATGAATAGATGGATAGATGGATAGATGGATGCTTGAGGGTTAATGGAAGGAAGGAAGGTTGGATGGATGGATGGATGGATGGATGGATGGTTGGATGGATGGATGGATGGATGGATGGTGGAGCACGGATGCATAGATGGCTGGGTGGATGGAAGGAAGGAACATGAATGGGAGGAAAATGGATGGATGGATGGTACAACGTGGATAGGAAGAAGGAAGATGGTTAGATGAATAGATGACTGGGTAGATGGAAGGAAGATAGATGGATAGATGGATGGATGGATGGTAGAGTGTTAATGGAAGGAAGATAAATAGAGGGTGGAGGGTAAATGGGAGGAAGATGGATGGATGAATAGTCGGAAGAAAGATGGATGGATGATGGAAGACAGATGGACGGGTGGACAGATAGCGGAGGATGGAAGGATGGGTGGATGGATATGCTAACTTCCCTTCCCCATGCCTCAGTCTACATGATAAGGAGAAGCAGCCTGTAGTCCCTCTATGATGCTGCACTGAACCAAAGCTTCCCTTACTTCATGGGCGTTACAAACCTTTCATCTGTTTACCCCTCACATTTACTGTAGAATCTCTAGAAAGGCAAGTGGCTTCCAGCTCCTTGCTTTTCCTGAGGGAGATCTGACCACTCAGTCTTAAATATGTCATCTTTGACACAGTGACAGTGCAGAGCAAGAGACAAAAATAGGCAGCAGCCAGGTCTGAGGGTGATAAAAGGCTACTCCCTAGGTCTTAGTGTTCTGAACTAATCCTACAGGAAAGTGCTACTCAGTGCCCAGGTGAAGTCATCACAAGAGGGACACAGTGGCTAAGAGGGCAGGGGCTCAGTCTCACAGACCTGGTTTCCATCCCACTTGCTCTCAGGAACCCTGGGCAACCACTCTGACCACAGTGTCTTCCTCTGCAAAGAGCCCAGCAGTGCTTGGCTCACAGTAGGTATACAGTAAATTGTCATGAGTAGTTTCCAGTGTGTCCCAAGTTCAAGGCTGAAGTCACAAGCCCACCCCTGCCACG